ATGTATAAACGAATGGGAGATAACTATTATTTTGTAAAATATAATTATGTGTAGGTTTTTAAGTATTATAAGATTATAATCGATAAATGATATATTTATCATTGATAAGGAAGAACTCGGTTACAAATTGCAAACAAAACTGATTAAATAAATAAAATTTAATTGGAACATGTTGAAAAAAACAAATAAAAAGGAATTGTTAATTAAATAACATTATTATATTATTTAAAGATAATAACGCGATAAATAATTATAATCAAATCATATATTATATTTATATTTGTCGATTAATAATTATTGATATATAATCAATATTAGAGGATATAATAAATAATCGTACGATTATTTTATGAAAACAACATTTATTTTCGCATAATATAATAAAGAAAACTATGCACAATAAATGTAACACTGTCAAAAGCATAATAAGCATAAATAATGTAACCTTTTTTTTTTTTTTTAAATAATAAAAGGAGAGAGATAGAGAGCGAGAGAGGTAGGTATACATATATCAAGGATCATAACAACTGTTTGACAATAATAATAATAATAATATTAAATCGAATTGCAATTATTAAATAAAGGATTCTATCTCTTTTTTTTTTTTCATTCTTTCTTTTTAATTTCTTTCTATTTTTTTGTTCTCTCTCAATCAATGTAGATTTTTTTTTGCAAATTTTATTTTATATGTATATATGTATATATGTATATATATTATGTCTTCATTATCGAGCTAGAGCAACAAAAGACCAAAAAAAAAAAAAAATAATAATAATAATAAAATACAGCGGATTCACAATCCATAAGGAACAAAGTTAAATTAGGTTATGTTTTTTTATTTTTTGGCGGGAGATTTTTTTTTTTTTACTTTTCTTTTCTTTTCTTTTCTTGTCTTCTTATCAATTTTTCCACAGAACAATTTTTTTTTTTTATAATCGCTTTGTACCTATTACTGTAAACAAAAAAGTCAATGAAAATATTTAATACATGTCAAATAAATATACAGATATTTTTGGTGAGATGATATAAAATTAAAAAAAAAAAAAACAAAACAAAAAAGAAACAAAAATATACCGTTATAATAATAATATGACTCCATTTGTCAGAGCATAAAAGATCATAAAAGAAAACGTCGTGGTAATAATAATTAAAAATCGGAATACACAATGGTGTCCTGTGATTTTTCAAATTTAATTGGCCGATAATACGTTAATGATTGATCCCAACCACGTGGTGCAGTATTATAATTAGTTAAATTATGAACACTGGCCAATTTTGGTCCTTTATACGTATCATTATCCTCATACAATTTCGTACCTGTAAAATATCAAATAATAATTATAATAATAATTATACAAAAAAAAAATAATAATAATAATAATAATAAGAAATATTACAATTGAAGAAGGAAATCAATTTTCAAGAACCCCATATTAAAATATAACATGTATAAAATTATATAATATTTTTTTAATTTTACAAAAATACTTTTTTTGTTGTTGTTGTAATTTATCCTTGTTTAATTATACATATAATAATAATAATGTAATATATAATTTAAGAAAAAAAAAATGAAACTATAAGTAATATTGTTATTTTTAACACTAGATATACCACCATTTTAAGTATACCTATTTTTACTACACTAATCAAAATGACTGTTGTATACAAAAAATACTTTTTGAACTTTGCCTTCAGTATTTATTTACTTTTAAAAAATAACAATAATAATTTTAATAGATATTTTTAAATAACAAAACGCAATAATTATTTACAGAACACAAATGTTACATATACAGTAAAAATTTGGAATTAAAATGGCGTCAAAACCAGTCAAAATGACTGGTCTGGTATATCTAGTGTTATAATTTGGTTAAAGGATACAAAAAAAAAATTAAGCGATTAGCAAAATTAGCTTAAACAAATGTTTTTAACAAACAATTAAAATAAGAAGGAGAGGAAAGAATTAAAAAAAAAAAAATAAATTACAAAAATACAGTGGTGGTGGTGGCGGTAGTGGGGTTATAATTAAAAGCGCATGCTTATTAACTTGCCTACTTCCGGACAGGAGTCAGTAAATTTGGGTTCTGGTGTGACAACACCGCCAGGTAAAAGATTATCCAATACAGGTGTATTCCGAAGATGTTTAATTTTTTTTAATATATCATCTTGCGATGCAACCATGGATAATAAAAATGATTTTGCTTGTGCCGGTAATACAGAATCATCGTTGACAAATTTAACATTTCCATTACAATAAGATTCTAATTCTTGTGACGTTTCTGATCTTCGTCGTTTTTGTAAATATTCTTCGTTAATAATATTAGACGAATATTGATCATCATTTCCATTTTGATTGGTAGTTATTTGTTCGTAATGATACATCTTAGTCTCGTCCTTGTTATAATCCTTATTGTAATCCTTGTAATCATATGTACGTAATGAATCCGAATCTGAAGTGTATTCAGTTTCATCGGTTGATAAATATCCATTGTCGATACGCAATTGACGATTAGGTGGTTTATTTATCATTTCCTGTTTTTCCCTTCTAGTCTCACGATTCGTTCTTCTGCTGTATATATTTTGTATATTTTTTTTTGTTTTTTTTTTGGTTAATTTATTTAATTATTTATTAAAACAATAATATAAAAGTAAAATATTAAAGTAATAGGATTTGATGAAAATTAAATCCTAATACGAATAGGATGTTATGAAAATAATTTAAAAATGAAACTAAAATGATAATTTGACTGTATAAAATTTTAAAATAATAGTAAC